AAAAAAAAAAAAAAAAAAAAAAAAAAAAAAACATTAAATTGGCATGTAATCATGAAACATTGAAATGATTTAAAATATTTTTGAGTTTATTGTATTCACTAGTCTAGAGATACTTGTCAAAAGATTTTTCAAAAAAGACCGAACTTTTGCTGTATTACTGCAGGTATCAGCAGTTCAAAATAGCTGCTGTTTGCAATTGAAAGGTACACTTTTTATTGGGTTGTAGTAAAGATACGAATTTCAAAGTAGACAGAACAAAAAACTGGATTCGAACTATAGAAACGTTTGTGCTTTCAAATACTGTCTGTTTAATTTTTACCAAATTTTGGACTTTATACAGTGGTCATTTTTATTGTCATAGATCTTGCCGTAAAACAATATAATTATAATAAGTAAAATACAGGTTCTCTTTCTTTTACCGGATCAGTTTGGCTTATCTAAGGACGATTTAATTAATATTCAAGTTTTAAAGTTCTTATATCAACATTTTGTTGCTGAAAGATAGTCTACTGCTGTGCTAAAAAAAACATCTTTATAGTATGAATCAAACAATTTGGAGGTAAGGAAAGGCTAAAGAGGGAGGAAAGAAAAAGCAATACGTAGAGAACTCAAATATTACTCTATCTGAAACTTACCAGAACATTTTATCCAAGAGCAGTTTCTGGTAAGTTTCCAGTTTCCCGATGCTGATTTGACTTTGTTTGTTTGTAACCGCCACAATATCCTGAAGAGACGGTGTTTCGGTAGAAGAACTATTTTGCCTACGCATTATCGCTTTAGTTGTGCAAAACGACCAGAGATCATTTGAAAAGAACGTTGTTGAACAACATTAAGATGAGTTAAATGGAGTGATGTGCTGTCGGATGAAAGTAAGTGATCAGTTTGAGCACATTTGATTGATTACATTTTTACGATGCTACTTTACTGATGACTTGTACTGTACTTGGAAACTCGGCATTTGTAATTTTGTCCGAATCTGATATATTATATCTTCTCAAAAACTTATAGCAGAAGAATTATTGCTGCTTTCTTTGTAAGTATTTAGCGAGACAAAGATTAGGTTGAGCTTGAGTGGTGTCCATTTCCAATCAGATGAAGATTCTCAGATTCTTTTTTTGTTGCACTTAAGGCAAGTTTTTCGTAGACGGAAGAAGTATGAGCATTTTTTTTCCGCGTAATTTTTGATTTCATAATTTATTATTGGCTAAAAAACTCCTGAAATAAAAAATGAAAAATAATTTTTGATTGATAATTATTGTTTGCATAAATAATACAGTCGTAGCAGTTATCAGCTATCAAATCCTACGTATCTAGTGGTACTGATTCAAATTTTTTTTTCTAGGGTTGGGGGAGGGGGGAGGCAATTTGTAAAGACTTACAAATTAAGGCACAGTATTGATGACACTTCAACAAGAATTTGGAGTCTTTTTTTTTTTTGACGGATTTTATGTTTACGAAGTTTTTTTACTAACTTTCAAGTAATTTTTTTTGCCTATTTTTTGTTTGTTTTTTAATTCTGCCTAAACTGTCCTTAACCGATTCCCAAACATTTTAAATACAGAGAAGACAATCTTTATTGTTAGTAAATATCGAAAACTTTTTGAAGAGATTTTGACGCAGCGGTACTTCACCAATGACACTTTTGACGAAAGCAATAAAATTTTTTCGCATATATCCACAAAGACACACAGACACATAGAGACATTTTTAACTAATTTGTTAAAACAAAAAAAAAAATTTTTTTTGTGGGCGAAAGAAGGTAAAAAGCAAATAAAGAAAGTTTTTTTCTGCTATTGACACTCAGACGAGAAGCGTACGTAAACAGAGTAAAAAATGACAGCAGTAGCAAATAGGCTTTTGTCTATCTATGATGACTGCCACTAAGTATGTTAACTAAAAGCCACTAGGTGTGTTAGGTTGAACTGATAAAAATGATGATGATGATGACGATGATCGGGGTGATGCAGATGATTAGCTTAAGCGGTCTTACTTTTCTTTTCAGTATATTTCTGCTGCCGAAGCCCTACTTAGGATTACGCAATTAAGCACCCATCTCACTTAAGAGTTCACGAATTCAGAAATTCACGAATTAACTGCACCAACTACTTTTTTCTGCACATAACTCGTCCACTACTTTTTTCTGCTGCACATAACTCTGTTTTCTCTATTTCCCATTTAGTCTATTCGGCTTTCAGTAATACACTTAGTGACTAATGTCACTTAAATTTACTAAACGACAAAATAGTTTTCTATGTTTTCCGTTTCTTTTTTTT